TTGACTTTGATGACTTTCTAATTTAGTTTCTTAGGCTTAACGTCTTGTTAACTGATGCCCAACTGTTATTAACCGCATTTTTAGCGCTTTTTTGATTATTAGCAATTGTTTCATAGAGTTGGTAACTGTCTTTTGATCAAACACTCGTTTGAGAGTAATGGGTGCGTGGATGAAAATAAGGGGGTTAATCATACAATACAACGAAGCGTAGTAGAGCATATATCTTAGTGGCTACATAATCGCTTATCATGAAATGCTTTGACAAACATGGGATTCAGAAAACTGTACTTTCCCATGGCAAAATGTATAGTTAAAACATTTCATGGGATTGAACCTTAAAATAGCTTTAAAAGTTTTATATGGAGATTATCAGTTGAGAAAGCCGTGGTCTTTAGAAAACTCAAACCTTATTTTCGTGTGCCAAATATACTAATTCTTATCTTGGATCTTCCTAGGAGGATGAGCTAACTTATTCTTTCCATATCACATTACTTTCCATCTACTTTGTTTTCAAATTATGAATTTTATATTTGTCCAACTTTTTATTTAGTCAACCTTGAATGTATATATGATTAGGTTATTCGAAATGTATGGCAAAAATACATCAAAGTTTCTGAAATTAATGCTAACAAAATAATGAGCATGTTTTTGTAAATATTCATTTATTCCGCTGAGTTAACCAGGTTCTCATTTACCAGTAACAGGGAGAGAGAGAGCGAGTCATAATCTATGGTTAGAAACGTAATGTAACATTAACCGAAATCGACCACAGTAGTGAGATTTCATTCGCTTCCTGTCGTTATTTGACTGTTGAGTTTTATGTCATTCTATACTTTTCATTCTTCATTCATTTGCTCTCTTTGGAATATACTTCTAATTTGTTTTTTATTTTCATGTATATTATAGTTTACACCTATTTTCGTTTTTAATTTCGTAAATTTCATTTTTCGCTGTACCAATATATGAGGTATATCATCTCCGACTGATACACAATATTTCCAAGTCGCTCATTATCAATGATTAACTGTAATACAAACAGTTCATCACTTGTAATCTCATTTCATAAGCAAAGTATTCATTTCAAACAATAACCATTTTAAGAATAATATGTAACTTACAATTTTTGTAGTTAAACTGTTGAACTTTTTCACAGTTTCTACTAAAGTTGTTTTCTTTGTTGGCATCGATTTTATCAAGTGTTTCATACGATTTTTTGTGAGAATACCAAATATTTCGTTGACACATACTTTACGATTACAACCAGTAGGGTGTTGAACTAGAAACTAAAAATAATATAATATAAAATAAATGACCATTTCAAAAGTAATAGACAAACCAATGAGACTGTACTTGTATTTCAAAGTAAGAATCATTAATGAATTATAAACTTACATTTTGTTAAATCTAATAATTCTATACTCTTATTTGGTTTACTATAAAAGTTCTATGACTTATAATTAATAATACTTTATCACATTTTCAGAAGAACTTGGACCCATTTATTAGTGAATACTCAAACTCAAAACTAAATATTCTAGTTTGCTGTGAAAATAAATCATTTTTAATTTATCTTAAACGTTTATGTAATTATTTAAAATAACCTTAAGCTGCATCAACTTATTAAGTTTGGTAATGCATAATCTTTTCATAATTTATTATGTCATGCTACTGTTCGAGTTATTTTATGACATCTTTCACTTTATTTTATCACTGTTACGCAAATTTTAATATCGATTTCTTTAAAGTTTACTGTAGAACCCTGAGGTACTGATTACTTATTTCTACAGGTAGTGAAATTGTATACTTGAGTAAACTCAATGTTTAACATGCTCATTAAACAAACCAATGTTCAAATAACACTTCCCCTTAATAGATATATACATGCAATGCCTAATTCATATCGTTCATTGTAATCACTTTTGATATCAAGTAAAATAATAAAGTAATTAACTTTATAATCTAAACTTTTTTTATCAAAATTACTATAGACTTTATCATTTTTGTTTATGTTTACGGTTTGAATTTTATATAGCTGTTTGTGTAGAAAAACCTGAATTTTAGGTCATAAGGACAAAGGCACTTGATAGTTTTGTTAGTCCTGAATAACGAAAATAGTAGACTTGAGTCTTTTGTATTTATAAACATACAACAAATTAATAAGTACCATATCGTTTATAAAAAATTCTGTTTTCTAAGTTGAGAACAATAATGACTACTATCTTCTGGTGAATCAGTGTTAACAATTATTTTTACTGCTCAGTTAAGATAACCTCAAATATCTCATCAGTAACGATGTTAATTAAAATTATATACCTTACGGGTTTGAAATTCAGGAACTTCAAAATTTTATAAGTTGCAAAGATGCATTGAATCGTAACGTTGATATCAATGATGAACAAATAATATACCATCTATGTAGACAGTGATAAATTATTCTTGAGTGTTTTCCTTTTAGTATTTCAGTTGCTACTTGAGAACGTAATATTTAATTAAGGTTTGTGGAACTCCTAAATTTCTTGTTATAAAACAACTTCATCTCTTCTGATTTTATTTAGCGCATATGTAGTTTTGGTAAAAACTATGACAGAGAACATTATATTCACCAAAAAATGGGCTATTTATCTATAGCCCTTGTCATCTCTCGGTGTACGTTGGTTCATGAGCATTAGTTTTATTTAGTATTCTGGTCCGCGAACCTTGGTGTTACTGAATATGATCAAGGCTCATACTTCCACAATATAAGTCTCTACTCTAAATACTGGGGATTTAAATACATATAATCAATGCTTCATGGAGCTAAATAATGATATTACTTGCGGCTGGTAGGATGATTAGATAATTAACTCATCATGCATATAGTTTAAATAATTTTAAAATTAATAAGTTTCAACACAATTCAAAGACAAACTTTGTCATGAACTAATGATGGTTTAATATTTATCAAAAGCCGATGTAGACAAGTATATGTTTAACAATATTCCACTTGGCCTTCAGTGTACTGGGTTAACAAAACCGTGGGACTGTACTAAACGCCACAGAGTAGGTAATATTATTCGATTAGATTCTCAACAGCAGTTGCTTGACTAGTATTAGGTTACGAGGTGATGGAGAACTTTTGTAGCTCAGGCTGAGAATTTGGTGTTATTGTTTTTATAGCCTGTTGGTCAACTCTGTTATACCGTGTCTCCACTGTGTAATCCGGGGTCGTTACTTTAATGAGTGACCTCAGTGCTAGCTGACCGTCCGTATCGATATTTTTGGGTCCGTAGTCTTACTGCTTATTCTCGACAATCGTGATTTGCTTCAATTCCCACAGCGCTAAGTAGGAACACGAAAAAGTGGTGCAATGAACATTTATTGACTCTTCAAAAACACGTCCATTAACAAAATGCAATCAGTAATATATGAATTTTTACACACAGTTGATAGTGGAACCTATGGGGAGGAACATGTAGGGGGATTGTAAACACATGCGAAATCTAGTTCACCTGAACTGGTGCAATCAACATAATTGTCACATTGAACGAAGTTCACACTTGTCACCCCGTCCAAAATTCATGATGAATTAAAGCAAAAATATTGACCTAATTAGTGTCATCTTATTCTGTCATATCACACTAGGTTAGAAAGCCCCATAAAAGCGAGGTAAACTATAGTAGAAAACAATTTATGCTTTTAATATTCACTTACATCCCGGATGTAATTAAAGATGAGCTCTACCATTAGTTAAATGATCTAAAGAAAGTGCCATCGACAGATATCGTAGAGTTACGTGGAGGTTTGCATTCCTAGGTTGAATGTCTAGACTTGGTGAAGAGCTCGGTATTCCCTTGTGAGATAACGTTTATCACTCTCTACAGCTTTTTACGAACTTTAAACGTTTTCACATATCTCTCTGAATTCTGATCATACCTTGGTATGTGCAAAGCTTATCAGTGACCAGCCAACTTATAGTCCTACACAGAGCTCTGAAGACTCCTTGCCACTCTATGAGACGCAAGCAGGTCTACTCCGGCGAATAATGGGTATAATGTTACATATACATCCGCATTTAAGAGAATGCCATAAAGCCTCTATAAACAACAAGAAATAAAGCGAATGAGTTGAAGGAAGATGGACCTGGTAATTGGGAGTGGCTGTTTCAACTCATCAGAGTCACTGGTAGCAAGATGTTTGGTTTTAATGATACGATCTTTGAAGTTGATTGCAATGCAGTTCAAAACTTCCAAAAGCTCCCTAAACTCTGTGTAGACGAATCCAACGGACAGTTGAGTTGATATTTTAGCCCAACAACATTGATAAGAATCTCCTATTTCCCGACCATTGACTATCGATCCACATACTAAAGCCCACATCCGTTTCTGGTTCATTCTTTATTGACTTCACTATCCTTCTCTCCAAAATTTCTTCACAATATTGTCAGTTTATTTGTGTGATTCATGTTGTTGGTACCCTATTGTATAAGAATTTCTAGGTGTATATAAATAAAATGGATTAATATTCAAAATTCATTAGAAATCAATCTTCACAGTAAGGTAACTCACCCATGGTAGTTGTGAGCCTAACGGATTTTTATAAACAATAACTTTAAAATCTCTCTCTGTTGTATATTCGGAATCAGATAAAAGTTCACCTATCTTTTTTGTAATGACTAGTATAATAGCTGAGTTTGCACCCCATTCAGGTAAATGTCCTTTTCCATTAACTCCAGTGCGACCACCAGGATTTCTAGGACATCCAGTTATTGGATCGGGAGGAGGAACATTAGGAATTAGTGTTTTGAATTGAAGCTTTCTTTCTTCTGAAATTTCAGAGAAATTTCCTGGTTCAGTCCATCCTTCAATTGAGTAAACTGGAGGTTTCCAGCCTAAACACATTGGTTTCTGTGACTGTTTCTGTTATCAATGAAAAATTATATAAAACATTTTAAAGAATAAATACAAAAGAATATTACGTTTCGTTTTTAATAAATAATCCGCTACACGTATTCTTTTATCCAGATACCGATAAATCAATAGAATCAGTTCATATTGATGAAAATATCTGAAACGTAACATGATTATGAACTACATTTGAACACTCACAAAACACGAATGTGACTACTTCTCTCAAACACATCAAACAACAAGTGAATAAATTAACTAGCATATTCTCAAACTTTCATGATACATACAAACAATGTAAAATAACTGTACAATATATAAAATGTAATTACAACACGCAACATGAAGTTGTTACAAAAGATCAAAAAGCAAAACCATTTCATTACTTTAGAGTATAAAACCATAACAACCATCTAATATTCTTTGAAATAAAAAGAAAATAATAATAATTTCTACCAAAATATGTCACTTTTCAATCAGTATTAATTATAGGAAAAACCTATCAAATTAAACTGAAATCAATCAATCAATAAAAGATTGATAGATTTTCAGAAAATTTCTATTTTGTAAATTGTTTTAAATTCATATTGATGCATAATTTGAAATGTTATTGGTTAATAACTCTTCAATAATACTAGTGAGGAACTGTGACCAGTGGAGTTCAACCAGATCTGTTGTGAGATAGTAAATCATTAAAGACAATGATGGACGGTGGCTCAATTTTGTGAATTGGTTGAAGTTAGACATTGACACCGTTGGATACCAGCTCAGTGATCTAGAGGTTGAGCGTTCGCGCGCGAGACTGATAGGTTCTGGGTTCGAGTCCCGTGAGCATGATCGTGGACGCGTACTGCTGAGGAGTCTCACAACAGGACGAAACAGCCGTCCTGTACTTCTAGGTTTACCATTGTGGATTCATGAATTCAACTATAGAATACATTTCTATTATTATTATTATTATTATTATTATTATTATTATTATTATTATTATTATTATTATTATTATTATTATTAAAGATTCTTTTTAATTACTTGATAGTGAACTTTAATACTTGACATTAGCTATTCAGTAATTCATTATATTTAATTAATAATTTTGCCATCATTTTGTAAACGCCTTTTATAAGTTCAAATAAAAGAAAACTGTTTTGTTAAATCGTATAATTAAACAAACAATTTTCATGTATTCCATTGCTCAAATGAAAAATAACCTAATCAGAATTGAAGCAACAATACCACTGTAAAAATGTAGATGTTTTTAAAAATAATGTTGCAATAAACGAAAGCACAGGTAGGGACGAGGAAGTAATACACAATTACAGGGTTAATTCATAAGATATAAAAACCATAAGTTCAATCCTTCATTTGCAGAATGTCCATTAACTGTCTCGGACTTGGTTGTTCCCTCATTTTCATAACGATTACTCTCTGTTTCCATTTTCTTGTATTCAATCTTATCAACTTTCTGCTGCCAAGCACTCCACTTTCGATCGGTGTTACTTACTGCTTACATCTGTCAACATAAGTAGCATACACCACAATGTTAGTAGAAATGTTCTCTCAGCATCATATTTAAGTAAAATTAAACATTATGCTCATGTGTAGATACATTTAAAGGATATTTGACTAAAAATTTACTTAGTTAAGTATGGACTTTGGCAGACTTATATTGGAAAGAACATTGACTTCCGAATTTTCATTCTAGTTTTTATTGATTTTACTTGTAAGAGACAATATACAAAAATACCATGATCTTATAGTAGTGTGAGTTTAGACACTATAAATTAGCTTATTAAAAAGTTTGTTATAGTTGCAGACTAAATCTTAGGAAAAGTCAATTATGGTTTGGTTGTTTTCAACGTCTTCTTGGTCTCATAGGTCACAACACAAAAGTGTTCACAACAATCTTGTAAGTCCCATACTAAATTTTAAAATGATAATATTGTTGGGATTAAATAAATAGATTAGTATTTTGTAATGTGAAATGATTTGAAAGATCACTAAGACAAACTTTTAGAATAAGATATCTCTTAGTTAAAGTGGAGTACGTTGATTATGCTACGTATCTTTTTGAAGAAATCCAATGTTCAAGTGGACTAGTTGGTACATTATATGAATTAAGGGTTTTAATTCTTGGCACATTTAATGGTAGATTATATAAGTATAAATTCAGTAATCTGTCTCCTATTATTGCTTATCTAAGGGCGAAAATGTTATGAACGGAACCTAAACTTATTTTGAACATACAACACTGAAAAACTTAAAATTTAAAAAATTAACGAAGTATATTAGACTTTGATTACATATTTAATTCGTGTACCGTATATTGACGCTTAATAGTATAAAATCTGAATGCATTCAAATCAATGGATTTTGCAGTGGTGTCAAAAGTTTACATAATATGATTTCGTTTGAAGTTAGTAAAATTTACTTGAGAATTTAATCGAGCTTTAAAAAATCTAACTTATGGTTCTTCAGAACTGGTTTTTATGTGCACACAAGTAGTTCTTAAGGCAGATTGTACAATCATTAATTAAGAGATAGAATATCTCATCCTTTCTGTTAGTTGGAATCAGACATTAAAAAATAAACCATTGTGTGCATTTCCTCAAGTTAAAAATGTGTTTTTATTATGTTCAAACAGACATCATTCATTTGAGATACATTTTTCTACTTTTAATCTCATTTGCATACTGAATCAACTTCTTGAAACTTATCCGGTGGTTGAAAGCGAATGTTAGGAACACTTGAATATAGATTTTGTGCTAGTTGTTACATGAACGTAAAGCATATCTGAAATATAGTCAGCATGTTTATTCGATTCTTCTCGCTACATGCGAAACTTTCAAGTCACTACAATAATCTGTCATTCTGGGGTATAGCTTTATTTTAGAAACTAGAATTATGTCCAGCTATACCACTACTCATTCTTAGGACCCCTCCGTGATCTTTACTAACAATCCTATTAGAGTATAAACTCAACTCATTCTGTCATTGCGACGAGTACGATATTGACTCAGCGGTTATTGGTATCATACTTACAGAGGGACCAGAAGATTTTGATTTCGAACTAAGATGATGTTATTGGTGTATATCGCTGATGAGTCTTACATAAGGTTGAAGTAGCTCTACTATGGTATATCGTTTCAATAGTTATCAAACTATTGCTTAGCCGTAATGGACATTAGTTTCATGTTAAACATTCTCTACATACCACCTTATTTGAAACTTATCCCTTTTACTTCAATTTCTATTCAATAAATATCAGTTAATTACCTGTATACACCACACACTAAAATGATAGTGAAGTAACTAACATCGTTCAGTAATGAACTTTTTGATTAGTGTTGAAAAATATTTCATGGCAGCTTGGAAACTATCAATTAAGATTAGTAAATGATTGAGTTTGTTGTAGAATTCATAGTCATCACTGTTGACATGTTCCACTCAATTCAATGTGACTGAGAGGTATGTATTATGGAATTTTGGTTGGTTAATTGACGTCATTGTATTATTTATATTTGTATATAATCAACATAGAACATTAGCATTTTCTTTATTAGATACCTTTATTTGGATCAGTATCTGAATTTTAAAAAGAGATTAGCTAGCTATTTATTTGATCAAACAATTGATTATCGAATAACAAAGTGAAACAACTTGTTGATGTCGAAATTCAAATGGAACATTTAGTGTTTAGCCATAAAAATAGACAAATTTTTAAAATTTTGCATTTCTGCTACAAAAAATGTAATCAACGTTTACCTACATAATTACATAAAATTTTCATTGAGAAAACATTTGAGTCGAAATATTTCTATTAAATTTTAATAACAAACTTATATTAAAATATAATCACTTACATCCCATGGTATTGGATGAGGAAATAGACGAGGTGTACGATCAGCTGTTGGTGGCACAAATCCTGCGTATTTGTGTGATCCTTTTTCAAAAACAGCTAGCTGACTGCTTTTCGTTCCCTGAATCAGTTTTATCATTGGTTGATCAGTTGATTTTGATCTGGAGTAAGCTATGTTTGGTTTTTCTTTAGCTATACAAGAAACAAAGAAGGAAGCTTGTTGAAGTGAACAATTGAATTTAGATAATAGTCTTAATATACGTTTTAGATAGGTTTGTAAAAAAGGTATATTAGTGAATGAATCAATTCTCGGTGACCCAGCATGAAAATTCTTAGAAGTGATTAGGATGTCATATTTGTAATGATTTATTTAGTCAAAAAAGTAGTGGTTAGGGTGCTTCAACTTCTTATCCTATGCATAACATACATACTAGGACATAACCTTAAATGAGATAGACGCTGCGTTCAAATGCAGGAGTGGATTTCTATGAGACTAGTTTCGGAGACAATCACTGATATTCGAAACTGCATACGAAAAACTAACTTTGTAACTATCATCAGTAAGGCAAACTTTTCAGCTGGTATTGATTGACATTGAAAACTATCATTTAATTAAGGGGATATTTAAATTATCATTCTCAATTACCAGTGTATATATTTAATTAAAAGTCTTGGAAGGAAATTCGTGTCTTGATACGAGATTGAAACTAGAAAGGTTCATGTTCTCAACTTATACCAACATTCGTTTCGTCCTCAGATGAGTTCATCAATAACCATAAACCTTTTTAATTCACTTGGTATTGTTTTACTTGAATCTTCACATTGATGTTTAAGACTGAAATTGATCAGTCTCTTATTGGCATATGTGCATACTGTGCGTATTGCCTCGATATTACCTGAATTTACAAGCATTATAAGCAAAGATGGATAGTGTCTAGCAGTGGAATCCAGGACATGCGCTTCGTCCTACTTGGGGCTCGTCAGCTGGATGTACCTGCACCTCAGAATTGATGTTGACTCTGGGACTCGAACCCAGTACCGTTCGCTTCAAATGCCATCGCGTTATCCACCAAGTGAATTAAACTTCACCCCATTGCACAAGAAAGTGGTTATCACGACTCAGTAGCTAAGTGGATAACGCAATGGCGTTTGAAGCGGACGGTACTGGGTTCGAGTCTCAGAGTGTACATCAACTCTGAGATGCAGGTATATCCAGCTGATGAGTTTCAAATAGGACGAAACAGGTGTCTTGATTTCCACTTCTAGTCACCACCTATATTTGCTTATAATAAACCTTTTTGTTATTTTATATTTCTACTTGGCCTAATTATAATTAATCATTGTAGTGACAATGTTTTTTTTACTGAGATAACAATCTAAAAGCAATACAAATAAATACAATCACCGTTTTAAAATTCTTAATCTCTTGTGTTAAATACATTAATATAAATAAAGAAAATTAAAATGTTTGGACAAAAGAGCGTTTTTTCACTAACTTATAAGTATTCTTTCAAGCCTTGAACCAAGAGATGTATCCATGCCTAAAAAATAAAACAAACGAAAAAAGAAATGAAAAAAATAGATTGACCAATAGTATTACTGAATCCTTAATAATGATAAATAGGATATATTTATAACGGAATAAATAAAACTAAACTTTTGATATTCAACAGTTTCCCCCCAATAAATTTAATCACTTCATTAGTGATAGGTTTAAGGCTGAAGAGTGACTAATTTAAAGCAGGCACTACAAATCGATATGATCAATTAAACATCACTCTTAATGAATTTTTGATTTAATGTATTTCTGATCTTTTTGGTTGATTTATTGGTGTTCATATTGGTTTACTGTATTTCCAGAAAGATCACATGCAGATTAATATGATTACTATCAATCGCAATGAGGTTAAAGAATTTTCAGTCATTAATTCTTAATTAATAAGGCTTATTATTCTAATATATAACAATTTATTTAAAAAAAGTATTGTAACCTAATTTAGTTTAAGACACCAAATTAAACCATTAATTCTTAACGAAAATGATTTTTACATAAAATAGTATTTTGTAGCTAATC